GGTAAGATCGGTCACACCACTGCCCGCTGTTTTTGTCGCCTGGACGACCTGTTTCGTCAGCGCTTCGGCTCGTCGCCCGACCTCCCGGACTGGCACAGTTTGCTTAGTCGTAGAGTTCAGATTTTTTACATGGACATGGAAGCCATTGTTGCTGCCCTGCATGTGATGTATGCTGATGACTCTAGTGTGCTACCCTCTTATTACTCCTTATCGCCTAGTGTAGGTGTGCCTAGCTTAGCCTCCCTTGCTGCGCCAGGCGTAGGAGCTCCTGCTTTGTTTAGCCTTGGTGCTTCCGCCGTCGCCCCGTCGCCAGATGCCACTGCTGCGCTTTCCTTCACCTTGGACTCTGGCGCTTCCCGGTGTTTCTTCCGCGACTCCACTACGCTGACGCCGCTTCCTGTTCCTGCTGCGGTTTCACTTGCTGACCCCTCCGGCGGTCCAGTAGTCACCCGCAGTTCCACCACCCTTCCCTGTCCGGCGGTTCCTTCGGGCTCTCTCACAGGTCTGCATATCCCATCGTTCTCCAGGAACCTAGTTGGTGTTGGCTGCCTCCAGGACCTTGGCGTCACCACTACGTTCCCTGGTCACGAGCGGTATGCTGTCTGTACCGAGGCCGCCACTGGTGCCCCCCTTTCCATGTTCCCCCGGGACCCGGTGTCCGGCCTGTTCACCCTGGACACCGTGACCCCCCCAGCTGGGGCGCCCCCTCAAGTGGCTGCGTCTTCCCAGGTTGCTGCTGCCTGCTCCTGTCGGTCCCTCATTCACCCGACTCTCCTGTGGCACCACCGGCTAGGTCACCCTGCGCTCCCGCGTCTGCGTCACAGGTCCCAGCACGGTCTCGTCCTTGGTCTCCCCGGTTTGTTTCCCGCTTTTCCCTCCTCCCCCGCCCCACTGTGCACGCCTTGTGTCGAGGGTCGGCTTCACCGTGCCCCTCACTCCTCCTCGTTTCCCCCTACCGCCGCGCCGCTGCAGACCCTGCACATGGACGACTGGGGCCCCGCCCCCGTCCATGGGCCGCGTCGAGAGCGCTACTGCCTCGTGCTTGTCGACGACTTCATCCGCTACACCACAGTCTTTCCCCTGGAGCAAAAGGCCGATGTGCCTGACGCTCTCATCCCCTGGCTTGTCTCTGCGCGTGTCCACTGAGGTCTCCCTGTCTTGCGTCTTCACTTAGACCGTGGTGGCGAGTTTGCCTCAGGTGTCCTTGGTCGCTTCTGTCGTGCGGAGGGCATCACCCAGACGTTCACCCTGCCGGACTCCCCACAGCAGAATGGGGTCGCTGAGCGATGCATCGGTTTGGTCATGGAGGTGGCTCGCACCTCCATGATCCATGCCGGTGCACCCCATTTTCTGTGGCCGTTCGCCGTGCGCTACGCTGCTCACCAGCTTAACCTGTGGCCGCACCCCCAGCGGCTGCAGGTTTTGCCGACCCTTCTTTGGACCGGGTCTCTTGGTGACGCGTCTGCGTTCCACGTCTGGCACGGACAAGCTCACTGCCCCCACCCTTCCCTGTGTCTTCCTCGGTTTCCCCCTTGACGCGTCCGACTGGCACTTCTACCACCCGCGGTCTCACCGGTTCTTTCACACTCGCGACGTCACCTTTGACGAGTCCATCTCCTTCTACCGTCGCTTCCCCTACCGCGGTCCCCCTGTTACTCCCCCCCTGTTCCTGGTCACTCCTTCCCTGGTGGTCCTTGTCCCCCCCCCTCCCCCTCCCCTTCCTGCCCCCTCTGGTGTGTCCCACGTCACCCCTCTCCCGTCGGTTGTCCCGGTTGAGGAGTCTTCTGACTCTGGTGGTCCTGCGGCGCAGTCCTTGCCGTCTGCCCCTCCCCCGGTGTCTCCCCCTCCACAGCCTCTGCAGCCGCCGTCGCCTCTGCTGTCGCAGCCGTCGTCTCCGCCGCCGCCGTCGCAGCAGCAGTTCGCCGACTCTGGGGGTGGTCCCGGTGGCCCTGGGGGTGGTGCCGGTGCTCGAGGGTTTTCGGGCTCTGGGGGTGTTCCTTCTGGGGGTGCCGGAGTAGAGTGTCCCGGCGGTAGCCGAGGAGCAGCTTGCGGTCCCGGTGTCGGTGTTGTGCCGCCGCAGCAGCAGTCTCCGCCGGTGTCAGCTCTTCGCCTGCTCGGCCTTCCGTTCCCTGACCCTGCGTCTATTCCTCTCATGCCGTCTCCTCCACTTCCTTTCTATGGCCCTGTGTTCCCTCCGCCGGACTCGTCCCCGGCTCGTCTTCCCCCTTGCTCCCCCCTTCTGTCCCCTCTCCGGTCTCCTGACCCGACGCCTCCGTCTCACGTCTGGTCTCGCCGTCCCTCTCGCGCTCGTCCCGTTTCCCCTGTCTCGCGCTCTCACCCTATGCTGCTCCGTTCCCACGCGTCTCGTCCTCCCCTTCTACCGTCGCCTCCTCCGTCCTCTCTTACCGTTGCGCCTCCTCCTCTGTCTCACTACCTTCGTACCGCTCGTCCTCTTGTTCCTCGAGTCCTCGCCTTTCTTGTTACCGACCCATCTTTTCCGGTCTCGTAACTTGACGCTCTTGTCGCTGTGGTTGCTGACTTCGCCTCTACCCGCTGCCTTGACTACGCCACCGCTCTGGTCTCTGACCCTGCCTGTCCTCCGTCTGTCGGGGGTGCTCCTGCCCTCGGCAGTGACGTCCTGGAGGACCGCCAATTTGAGCTTGCTTTCCTGTCCGAGGCTGCTCCCCATCTCTGTTCCATGCTGCTAGTCCCTGAGGGTGACCTAGACCTTTCGACATCCTGACCCCTCGCACTTACGCTGAGGCGACCTCGGGACCTTGGGCCTCTCAGTGGATAGCTGCCATGGAGCAGGAGATGGCATCTTGGAGATCCACCGGCACCTACGTCGACGCAGTTCCTCCTCCTGGGGTGAACATAGTCGATGGCCGCTGGCTCTTCAAGGTGAAGCGCCCTCCTGGAGAGCCGCCTATCTTCAAGGCGTGCTACGTGGCTAGAGGTTTCAGTCAGCGTGAGCGGGTGGACTTCTTTCAGACTTTCGCTCCGACCCCGAAGATGACTACTCTTCGGGTGCTGCTACACGTAGCTGCTCAGCGTGACTACGAGCTTCACTCCCTCGACTTCTCCACTGCGTTTCTTCAGGGCAGCCTACACGAGCAGGTTTACCTACGTCGCCCTCAGGGTTTCACTGGCACCTTCCCTCCTCGGGCCCAGTGGCTCCTGCGGCGTCCCGTCTACGGCCTGAGGTAGGCTCCCCGTGAGTGGCACGACACGCTGCGTGCTACCCTTGCTGACCTGCAGTTCTTTCCGTCCTCCGCAGACCCCTCACTCTTCGTTCGTGTTGGCCAGACTCCGTTCTACATCCTCGTTTACGTGGACGATCTGGTCTTTGCCACAGCAGACAGGGACGCACTGCCCTCGGTGAAGGCAGAGCTGCTGAAGAGACACACTTGCACTGACCTTGGAGAACTGCGCCGTTACCTTGGTTTGCAGATCTCCTTGGACAGAGCAGCGCGCACCATCACTTTGACTCAGTCACACTTGGTGCGCCAGGTCCTTCAGAGGTTCGGCCTTCAGTTCTCCTCTGCACAGCCCACCCCTCTGCCTGTAGACCACAGACTCTCCGCTCCAGTTCCTGAGGAGTCAGTAGAGCCCAGTGGTCCTTACGCAGAGCTGGTGGGTTGCCTCATGTACCTGATGACTTGCACTCGTCCAAATCTCGCATACCCTCTCAGCATACTGGCTCGCTTTGTGGCCACAGGCAGACACCGACCGCAGCACTGGTCTGCCGCTAAGAGGTTTTGCGTTATCTCGCAAGTACATCGGGCATGGGGTTAGTGCTAGGAGGACGCAGGCCAGTGGTCCTTACTGGACACTCAGACGCTTCTTGGGCAGACGACGCCGAGACCCTCAGGTCTTCCCAGGGCTACCGCTTCAGCCTTGGTTCAGGTGTCGTCTCGAGGAGAGCTACCCGCTCCTCGTTTGTTGCCCAGTCCAGCTGTGAGGCAGAGATCTACGCCGGTGCCAGGGCGGCACAGGAGCTCCGCTGGCTGACCTTCTTGCTCACTGACTTAGGTGAGCGGCCTAGTTCTGCCCCGGTCCTGTACGCTGACAACAGGGCCATGATCCTCATGTGTCAGGAGCCTCGACTTGAGGGCAGAGCGAAGCATATTCATCTGCGGTACTTCCTCCTGCACGAGCTACAGCAGCGCCGCCAGGCTCGCGTAGTACACTTGGCCTAAGGTGCCAACACAGCTGATATCTTTACAAAGGCGCTTGCGCCTAAAGATCATCAGCGGCACTGTGTACAGCTCGGTCTAGTTCCTGTAGCCTCTCACTTGCTAGGGCCTTGACGTTGTACTGTCCTTATATATATTTACTCAGACTAGACTTGTGTCCTCGCTCAGTGGCTGGACTAGTAGTGCCACCCTGGTCTTGTTCTTGCCTTGCCTGTACTCTCTTTTTACTAGTCTTTAGACCCTTGTCTCAGTGGCTGGACTAGTAGTGCCGCCCTGAGCTGCTTGTTCAGGAGCTGCCCCTATGCAGTCTAGGGGGTATGCCAAACATTTGTATCTCTAATGTTTGTATAGACTGTATAGGGTCACCTCTTAGAGAGTACAACCCTTAGATATATATCCTTGTACCCAGGTTCTCTAGTCATTCATTATTCAGTTTTAAGACCATTCTCTTATGTCCCTTTCTCTTCTTTGCCCTCCCTCACCTGTTGCCCATTCCAGAAGGAGGGATTGCAAGTGAAGGAGCAGCAGCAGCAGGAGCAGCAGGAGCAGCAGCAATAGCAGCAGCAGTACAACCTGAGCAGGCCCCAGGGCGAGTTGCAGTGGTGAAATCCGAGGAGGGTGTAGCAGCAGACCCTGTTGAGATTGCAAGTAGCAACAGCAGAAGCAGAAGCAGCAGCAGCAGGAACAGGAGCAGGAGCAGGTAATGCAGCAATGGCAGTAATTGTGCCGTAGCAATTGAGGGGAAGGTTTGTTTGTTTACTAATGGCAACAGTGCGCCTAGTCATTTTTTAAGTTTTGCATTGAAGCACAAATAACCTTCCACAAGGTGGTGTTACTTATGGATACAACTTTAGATATACATACAAGACATGCTAGTTCTGTCTTTCGTAGGATTGGTACTACAGATTTGTAGATTTGGCACTACAGTGGAAAACTGTCCCTGTATCGAGTCCTCCCACGACCGTTGAGGTTTGGAGGGAACCAGTCTGCTGCATGATGTGATCCTTCTTCTCGCCGCCAACCTCGCCCTAGAGTCTATCCCTTCCGCAGCTCCTATTTCTGCCCCAAGAATCGCCTGCTTTTACGGCTGCAGCAGTCTGCTAATTCCCTGCGCGACGACGCAATTACCAGTAAACAGATCCTTATTCATAACTTCCGCTCGTCCCTTCGCCCCGACCACGCCCAGCGTCAATCCCGTTCCCTTTGTAAACGGGCTGTCCTGGCCCTTATATCTCGCGACCTTCTTTTTGGAATCCGCCGTTTGAATGCCCTGGCCCTTGGGTGTAGACTTCAACGTATTGTAGTCGTATTCGCCGACGAGCACGTTGACCTTGGCTATACCTTGGACCTTCTTTTTGTTCCGAATGAGGTCGATCAGAAAAGCCGGGTTGAGGCTCGCGGCGAGAAGCGCGCGATTGGTTGGGACGAGAATGGTAACCGCTGGAAGGAGTTCGCTAGCAGAGTTCTTCTCTGTTTGCGAAGGGGGAAAGGGGAGGGGGGAGAAGGGGGGAAGAGAGACGCGGGAGGGGGGAGGGAAACGGGGAACGGGGAATGAGGCTTTGCGTCGAGAAAGCACGCGATTGGTTGGAACAAGGACGGTAATAACGGGGTGTACGTCGCTTGCAGGGACTTTTCCGTTGAGGGGAAAGAGGGGGGATGGGGAGGAGAGGGGGGTGAAGACACCTCCTGAACAGAATGTGGGGTGAAAGCCCGAGGACTTGGGCTAGCGCCTTATATTTCGCCGCCTGAAGACTGATGACTATCCCGCCTCAGGGTTACAGCCATGGCCCCGTAACTGGTGATATTAAACCGGCTTCTGAGGCGTCTCGAACGTTGAAAGGCCCTCCTCTGGGTTCCACTGGAGGGAGATTTTATCGCTTGAGGCACGAGACTCAACACTCACTCACCCATTTTCTTTATTCCTTGCTTCAGCGCGAGGGCCATCCCGCCGTAACGCAAGGGATTTTTCGCCAAATTTCGTTGAAGCGTCTTCATGTCGCCGACGAACTGGCTCCACGTGCACACGCCCGTCCCCACGGGGATCGGGATCGGAAAGCCCGGAATCAGCCCGGCAGCGGCGGTCTGCCCGATGAAAAGAAAGGCGAGCGCAACGAGAATTTGCCAGCGAACCGACGCCATGGTTGCGCGAATTTGCGGCCACTGACCACGGATCTGTGGCAGATTGAGGGAGTTCGGATGATTCGTGGGAAAGGTGACCCCGACGGTGAGCGAAAGTAGATCGAGGGAAATTGAAGCATGGGCTGTATATGGGACGAGCAGGAATCGAAGGAGTCGATCGAAGTCACTTTCGGTGATGAGTCATCGTGGACACCATAGTTGTGAACTAACCATGGTGTGCATCGCCCTCCCAACTGCAGCGGAGCCTAGCCAGCAAGAAGCGCACATCCCCTCAACTACGTATCATACCGATACCGTACTGTACCGATCCCGCAGCACCCACACTGGGCGCTTGGTTGATCAGCACCTGGTGCCCGAACGACACACCTTGTCGCGTTCTGCCAGCCAAGGCGTTGAATGCGGTGGGACCTCGCTACCGTACTAAACCGAAGTTCTAGACCGACGGCACAAATTGGGGGGGCAGGTGTCAGTACACCCAAGTATTCATTTACATAGCACATATTAGAGTCGCATATTTGGTTCCAACTACCCCAAGTTCGGGCCAGGTTTGTAATGTCGCACAAAGAGTGAGGTTCGTCGAACGTGGGTTTCTCAGGGTGCGTAGAAATTAGGACGGCGGTTCCGTTCGTCTGTTCGTTCTGCCCGTCGACGTCGGGAGATTTTGGGTTGCTTAAAGCTTGCTCGGCATGTTGCATATTTGTACTGTTTAGGTAGGTGGGGCGGCAGAACCTGATTCGACGAAGGATAATGGAAACGAAATATTTGGCAAAGATTGGGCTTCGCAAAGTCAGCGTGTGTTTTACGCGAGCTAGCGGGGTTGGAAACTTGGCAGGGCCGCCAGTTTTGCAGCTCACAATCTGGCGGAGGGCCACACCGCCACCTCTTCCAAGTTTGCAAGGCGAGAACTGGTTGACTATTTTTATCACAACCAGCCCTTTGACCTAACCGATTTCGGAAAAACAAACCGGATGTTGTTTGACCCAAAAAATACTAATCATATTTTTGTTTCGCGATTCCCACTCACACTGCAAAATACAAATTCAGGTTTCTATCCCCCACCCAACCCGCCCCATTTTTTTCCTCGAAGAACTTGGCAAGCTTGCACTGCCAAGTTCATAGAGACCCCCAGACCTGCCTAGTTGGAAATCCTTCGCAAGCATTTGGCAGTTTGATGTCAGCTGCTCGATTACGAGGGCCTTAAGGTGCAGCATCTTGAGAAGAGAGGGCTTGCAACCTGCCAGTCGGGCTTTAACATTCGAGTACAGTTACGAGGTGATTCAAACGAGGCACCCTCAAGAAAGCAACTGTAAAGCAGCGCGTTACAGTCGCCACGCAGATCAAATAATCGCAGCCGGCCCAAATGAAACCGACAAATAAACGAATAATAGGTGTATTTTGGGAGAGGGTGTAGGATAACTCCGCCTAGCCTGTGGAGGGAGGGGGATCGGGAAGGAAAACTCCGACGTCTCCCTCCCCCTTACCAGCCACACCGCCCCACCGCCACCACCCCTTCCCCCCTTCCCCCAACAACTCGTGTCGGTAGCGGCAGCAGTATGCTGCTGCTGGTAATTCCTTCCGCCCTTCATCATCCGTTCAGTTGCCCCTTCCCACCGCCATGTGCAATCGTCACCGTTCAATGTCGCTGTACATGAACATGCCAGCGCCCTGTAACAGCGCTGTACCATTGCTGGATGCATTGAAGATTCCATGAGTTGATGCGACAAGAGTGGCTCGCGAAGAATAGCGGCACAGGTCGCTTTGGCTGGTCGCACAGGTGATCGTCCTAGAATGAGTGAAGCAGCAAAGGGCCAACCAGTTGGTGCCACATATTTGGCTGTAACTTGGCTGGTAGCGGGTCACCGAAACCTCGGCAACAAAGTACTCGCTAAAAATGGAAAGCCTACTGTCCGAAAGAGAAGCCTTGCACTTATATACGTTCATCTCAACTGGAGGAGAAAAAAAAAAAAAAAAAAAAAAAAAAAAAAAACCAGCTCCAAACATTCAAATTGTTGATTCTCAAACATGAAAAGTATCTCCTTCTACGACGGCCGTCTACTCTGCCAAAACTCTCTCCTAATCCCCCTTCATCTACGTCCTATCTTGACTGCATTCTCTATGTCAGGGCTTCAGAATGTCAGAAACCCAGTCACTAACCACTGGGTTAAAAGGGCTTGTTGAATAGCGGATAAGTGCGCCCATAGCCCCCCAGGCTCTGCACCTGTGGCCCTTCCCCGAGGATCTCAAGGGCAACCCCAGCGGGTCACTCAACACCCCCCCCCCCCCCCCGCTGGGATAGGTGGAAGACACGAGCGCCTCTGCAGCGCTGGCACTGGGAGTTGAACCCAAGACCTTTGGCTCTGATACCATGTCAGAAACCCAGTCACTAACCACTGGGTTAAAAGGGCTTGTTGAATAGCGGGTAAGTGCGCCCATAGCCCCCCAGGCTCTACACCTGTGGCCCTTCCCCGAGGATCTCAAGGGCAACCCCAGCGGGTCACTCAACACACAGAAGTCATGACAAAATTGTCAAACATGTCTATTTGTTATGTTTGTATAGACTATATAGGGTAGCCTCTTACAGGGTACAACACTTAGCTATATTGTGTGTACTCTCTCTCTATGATCAACACTTAAATTTCTGATATGGTATCACGCGTAGGTAGGATCCCCCCCCCCACCTACCGCTTCCGCTCGCCCCCCTAGCCCCGTCGCGACCCCCTCTAGCCCCGTCGCGCCCCTTCCTGGGACCCGTCGCGCCCCTCCCTGGGCCCCGTTGCGCTCCTTCCTGGGCCCCGTCGCGCCCCTTCCCAGGCCCCGTCGCGCCCCTCCCAGGCCCAGTCGCGCCCCTCCTGCGCCCCGTAGCGCCCCTCCTGGGCCCCGTAGCGCCCCTCCTGGGCTCTGTCGCGCCCCTCCCAGACCCCGTAGCGCCCCTCCTGGGTCCCGTCACGCCCCTCCCAGGCCCCGTAGCGCCCCTCCTGGGTCCCGTCGCGCCCCTCCCAGGCCCCGTAGCGCCCCTCCTGGGACCCGTCGCGCCCCTCCTGGGCCCCGTAGCGCCCCTCCTGGGCCCCGTCGCGCCCCTCCCAGGCCCAGTCGCGCCCCTCCTGCGCCCCGTAGCGCCCCTCCTGGGTCCCGTCGCGCCCCTCCCAGGCCCCGTAGCGCCCCTCCTAGGACCCGTCGCGCCCCTCCTGGGCCCCGTATCGCCCCTCCTGGGACCCGTTGCGCCCCTCCTGGGCCCCGTAGCGTCCCTCCTGGGCCCCGTCGTGCCCTTCCTGGGCCCTGTCGCGCCCCTCCCAGGCCCCGTCGCGCCCCTCCTGGGCCCCGTAGCGCCCCTCCTGGGCCCTGTCGCGCCCCTCCTGGGCCCCTGCAGCGCCCCTCCTGGGCCCCCCGTCGCGCCCCCCCGGTCCTGTCGCACCAGCCTGGCCCCGTCGCCCAAGCCCGGCCCCGTCCTGCTCGCCCGGCCCCGTCGCAGCCGCCCGGCCCCGTCGCATCAGCCCGGCTCCGTCGCGCCCGCCCGGCCCCGTCGCACCGGCCCGGCCCTGTCGCCCCCGCCTGGCCTAGTCGCCCCTGCCCGGCCCCGTCGCGCTCGCCCGGCCCCGTCGCCCCGGCCCGGCCAAGTCGCACCGACCCGGCCTTGTCGCGCCCGCCCGGCCCCGTCGCGCCCGCCCGGCCCCGTCGTCCTCGCCCGGCCCGGTCGCACCTGCCCGGCCCCGTTGCCCCGGCCCCGTCCTCCTCACTGGTACGGTTCCCCCCCACCCCGCCCAGCACTGCCCTGCACCGTAGCGCCCCGCACCACCCTGTACTGCCTTACACCGCACTGCACCGCACTGTACCGCACTGCACCGCACTGTACCGCACTGCACCGCTCTGCACCGCACTGTACCGCACTGCACCGCACTGCACCGCACTGCACCGCACTGTACCGCACTGCACTGCACTGCATCGCCCTGCACCACACTGCACTGTTCCTGATGGCGGCGGAGCTTCGCTTCGACGCTGAAGGTCAGCCCCTAGAGTTCGAGGCGTGGCTTGCCGACCTCCGCCGCCAACTTACTGGCCAGCGGCAGGATGGTGAACCGCTTTCCGCACACCTTGACGGTACTCTCCCCTGCCCAGACCCTCCTGCTATTCTGCCCGCTGACCCCACACTCACTGAGCGTGAGTCTACTGCTGCCACTGCCCGTGCGCGCTCTGTCTGGCTTTCTCGTGATGTTGTCGCCCAGCTTGCCATTAGCAACGTCCTTCCCCCGTCCGAGCATCCTCGCTTTAGGTCCCTCACTACTGCTCAGGCATACTTAGATGCTGTCATCAAGCGCTATTCCACCCCTCCGGCTGCCTCGGTGGGTCGCCTGATCCTCCCGCTGCTCTTTCCTGACCTTGCTTCTTTCCCCACTGTCTCTGACCTCGCTGCCCACCTGCGCTCGATAGAGGAGACCTGGCGTGCCGCCTGCACTTACGCACAGCTTAGAGCCCACCAGCCGCCCATTACCTCTACCCTCTACCTGCTTGCCACCCGCCTCCCTGACCGCCTTGCTGTCGCCCGCGACCGCTTCCTTAGCGTTCACCCCGCAGACCTCACCCTTACTGACTTTGTCGACACCCTGACTGTGATAGAGACCCGTCACCGCTCCATCGCCCAGGCGAGCGGTGTCGTGCCAGTCCCTATCTTTCAGGGTTGTGCCCCCGCTCAGTGCACCTTCTCCGACGGCTCTGCCGCAGTGGCTGAGACTGCTGCTGCAGCGCAGTTTCGCTCTGGGAAGGGCCGCCGCCCCAAGGCTGGGCGCGGCGGAGGGGGCGGCGGGGGTGCGGGCGGGGGTAGTGGTGGGGTCGGGTCGCCTGGTGCTGGAGCGGACGAGGGGACCCTGCCCAGTCCAGCTGGGTCGCCGCCCCTGCAGTTGCAGCAGCCGCAGCATCCGCCGCAGTCGCAGCAGCCGCCGCAGTCGCAGCCTTCGCAGCAGCCGCAGCAGCCGTCGCCGACGCGGCAGACGAGTGTTCTCCCGCCAGGGTGGCCCGGCGCTGGCAGTGGACGGGCGCGTGGTGGTGTGCCGCGTGGTGGCTCTGCCGGCGGGCGTTGTCAGTACCAGATCCAGACCGGTCCTCGCCGCGGCTTCGTTTGCGGTAAGATCGGACACTCCACTCCCCGCTGTTTTCGTCGCCTGGACGACCTCTTTCGCCAGCGCTTCGGCCCGTCGCCAGACCTCCCGGACTGGCACATTTTACTTAGTCGTCAGATTCAG